AGAAATTGAAAGTTTGTCTCCGGGCGTCGGGAGGGGGGGGGGGTCACTAAGCAGTCTAAGGACAGTCTATCTTGACTCCTTGATCCGTAGGTTATTCCACAAAACCCCATGATAACCGGTAGATCTATGTTGACCCTATGAATAGTAGGATGGTCTTACTTTTGCTCAAAACATTACCGTCTGTAAGTCGGATTAATACATTATTATATTCAGCACCTGTTGTCAATTAGTGCTTTCAGTATAATTATTTCTATTTCTACAGCCGACCTCTTATCGCACTCATGTATATCTATGTTAATTATTAATTTTAAAATGCAGCTAGAAAAATTATAAAGGAAAATTTAACCTATCCTTATCTGATAACCTTAGACTGTTTCGACTTATGTAGGCCCTATGTGTAAGACTGTGTGTCTGTCTACAAAAGGATTTTTTTAAAAAATATATGTAAATATAAATATATATGCATATAATAATATATGCACATATATAAAATATCATTCACAACACACACACACACACATATATATATATATATATATATATATATATATATATATATATATATATATATATATATATATATATATATATATAATTATTTTACTAGGTTGTGTTTTTTTACGTGGATACAACTCGGAAAAAGACAAAACTATCGTAGCAATTTTCTCTTTGTTAACTTTTGTCAATAAATCGCTCGTAAACAAGTTGACAAGTACACAACACACTTAGCCTTGTATTCTACTCTAGTGGGCAGATTTACATAACTCGACTTGCAAGGGTTCTCAATGTAGTATCATAGTATCACCTCACCGAATACGCAATCAATTTCCTACATATAATTTACGGTAAGACAGTTTCTTTAATACACTCATAAGAAGTTCTCAATGTACTATCATAGTATCACCTCACCGAATACGCAATCGATTTCCTACATATAATTTACGGTAAGACAGTTTCTTTAATACACTCATAAGAAGTAAAACTTTGATCGAACTCAAAAATTATTATTGAAAAAATAAATCGATGTTTTAAAACACAATAATTCTCAATTTTTATTATGGGGTTGGGGGGGGGGGGAGAAATCTGGGTTGTTGTGACAATTTGTGACTATGGGAAGAGGGGGAGGGGGGGGGGGGGGCTTAAAAACCATCCTAAAAAAGTTTGACGTCATATCTGAATGACCCCATTCACTATGTGAAGGGCGTAGATCGGGCTTCTGTAATTGTCGTTAGAACCTGTGTTACACAAACGCCTCATTCTTTAGCTGAACTTAAGCCCTTTACTTGAAAAAACAATACAATGAATGAGCTGGAATGTGTCTCAAGGCCTAGAAGTAAAGCTAGCGCCACTGTAAGATAAAAACCAACTTTATCCTAGCTTGTTCCAAATCCTAAATTTAGATATCCGTCTTATTCTTAATATTACAAGAAAAGAAATAACTTTTCGACACATACACATGCAAACACACGCACACCCACAGACACATGCAACACACAGACAGACAGACAGACACACACACACATATGCAGAGCTGGCTTTACACTACTGAGAATAATATGGTGTGAAGGTGTGGGGAGGGGTGGGGGGGGGGGGGTGGGAAGGTCGAATCTTCAAACACAATTTCTTTAGCTTATTTTATTATTCTATCTGCTAGATGCATTCGTTACGCTAGCCGGCTATTTCACCTGCATGCATTGTAGATTTGACTATATGTTATTATAGAACAAACTACTTGTTATATTTAATAACTTATGTTAAATATTGTTAATTAAAGTGTATAATTAATGACGTTTCAAAGTGACTATTTCTTTGCATCAAGGATTCTGAAAAAAAGGTCATGATTGACGCTTTGTGTTTTAGAAGGGTCTTACAGTATGAAACACGTGATGAATGCAGGCGAGGGCTTCTGCTGTGATTCTAGGTCGAGACACTGGGACGTATTAAGATGTTTATGTTATTATCAGTTTGTGAGTCTTATGGAAACTCAATATTATTTTGTGAATGCTGACTATATTGGAAACATTTTTGAAAGTCTATGAATTATTTTTTGGGATTTTACATTAAATTAAACAAACAACAACAAATAATGTTACACTTTACAGTAATCTAACTAAAAATGGGGATGACAGTATTCAAATCAATAATGTGTTTTACAGTTTACTCATCCATAATGTACATTGCTGAAATCAATATTTGTAGTTAAAATATCTAAATCAATTAAATAATTGATTTAACCATTAATTTCGGACCCTTATACAATCAGAGCAGTTCACCAAAACTTACATGCACAGAATGGTAGCTTTACTCCTGAAAAATTTAGAAAAATTATTAATTTGTTGTAATTATTTGATACATATATACATATATACATAATTTATGTAAAGGAACATACACACACAAACATATATATATATATATATATATATATATATATATATATATATATATATATATAGGCTATATATAGATACGAGTATATAAAGGTATGTGTATATGTGTAAATATAAACAATATTATTTATCAAATAATATTATAATATTATAGATATATATATATATATATATATATATATATATATATATATATATATATATATATATATATATGCATTATATATATATATATATATATATATATATATATATATATATATATATATATATATATATATATATATATATATATATAAACGAATTCTTACTGTCTTCTTTTACCTTTTAAAAAGTGTTCACAAACACCCAACAACGCAACAGAACAGGTATTTCATAATAATAAAACCTACAGTTGAAGATTGGCATGGTTGGTTGATTATGCTTAAAGTCACTCTGTCCCTACCCACCCCCTCTCCTCCCCCACCAGTACTGCTACTTATACTTAAATCTACTTGTCCAACTGTCACTTCTACCATATGCGATGCATCTGCTTCCAACACTTGCGACAAAAATCCAACGCATGACTGCAGTCACTTTTTACTTTTATAAGGGCATGCTGAAAGGTAATTATGTGTTTTTTTTTTTTTAACATAGCTCTATGTATTAAACACGTTGAACATATTCAGGGGCACATATCAACCCAACAAGGATTGAAAAGCTCCGCATCAAACGTTTAGTTGTTGCACAAACAAGATGCAGTGTAGGATGCAGTAGTTGATATTTTTTCTAAGCGAAAGTAAGGTAATTTAGTTCTTTTTGTTTGTTTAAAAAGATAATGAATATAATTTTTATATTTTTTAAAATAATTGTGTTGATTTTATTACATTATAAAATTAGTTGTTTCAATGTTATCATTTAATACTTTTATAAATAGTTTTCAAAATAATGGAAAACAATTCATGTTTTATCAAAGTTAGAATCGCCACAGTATGGATTAGGTCTTTACCCGCTATGAAGCAAAGTTTATATATATTTCTACATTTTAAAATATTCTGTTAAAAAATTTAGTTTATAAATTCATGTTTTGAACAATCAAATTTTGCAACGAAACGCGAGTCTTATAACTCTCAAGTATTTAGTTAACAAGCTTAAATAACTGATTTAAATAGCAACATTTCTGAGGCTATGTTTTTTATTTATTTACTCTTTCGGTGAAAGACGGTTCTAAAATTTGACTTGGGCACAAAAGAAACAACAAAATAATTCTTTTTAAAAAATGATTCATTGATTATAACATAAAAGTAAAAATACATTTTATGTAGTTGCGCCTAGATATGTAAAAATAATCACTCGATATAAATAAAGTAGACTATGTAGCTAGCTATGCAGTTTATAGCTGACTGGAAAGTCACTTAATTGCTTCCCTTAATAAATAGAGTTTAATATTTACTTTCTAGATAGAGCGAGTGTTATAATCGTGCACACACACACACAAAGTTTTGACAATTTTCGCCGTTTTACACTTCCCTACTTTGTCGTATACGGAATATAATGAATGCATTGTAATCGTGCACATTTAGTCAAGTTTAACAAATTTTAACATTTTACAACCACCTGGAACCTAAAAAACGTAGTTTTGTCTGTCTGTGTTTGTAGTGTAAACACGATTACTTGACTACCGTTTCAGTTAGGTTCACACCATTTCATAAATAAGTATTTTATCTACTTTGCTGTTTTATTTCGAATTTTGAGCTATTTCCGGCAACAGGAAGTTGTCTTTACTTCCGGTTTCGCAAAAGGTTTTCAATACTTTATTCTATTTTCAAAATAGCAATGTAAACAGAAAGTGATATTTCCACGGGCATAAGACACCTTGAGTACTGTTTCAGTTAGGTAGACGACATTTCATTTATATGTACTTGGACTACTCTCAAATTTTAAGTGAAAAAAAAACCCAAACGAGCAGTTTTGTCACAGACTTCTACATTTAAAGATGCGCTATACGTGATATTAAAAAAAAAAAATTAATATAGATTAAACATGGACATGCACTAAAACAATGACTGATAAGTCTTTTTCATTAAAACTTATTACGTTTTTTTTTTTTACTTTGGGATCTTTATCGGATAAATGCAATAAGTTTTTTTTTTTGGGGGGGGGGGGGGGGGGGGGGGGGAGTGCGTTCTCATTTGCTAGATGATTTAATTATTTAATCCACTACTCTAGGTTTTTTAACAGAGTTTAGGACAAGTTTTTAACCAATCGTATTGAAAATAGGTACAGGTTAGAAAATCTGAACATCTCAAGAAAAGTGATAGTTCATTTGTCGATCATGAATTTTAATAACTGTATGAGGGTTGTCAGTAGGACGGACTAGAGACTAGACTGTAGGAAGAACAAAATACTAGACTAAATGACGTCCAAAATACTAGACTAAATGAAGTCCAAATACTGGCCTAGAAGACGTCCGAAATAGAAAAGCGTAAAACTTCCGAAAATTTCGATTGTAGGCAAAGGCGTAGCGACCCCTCCCGGCGCCAGGGACTAACTTTTAATTTGGTGCCCCCCCCCCCCTATATATATTTTATGTTTATGATTCAAAACTGCAGCTAAAATGAGCTTTTAATTTTTTAGGCGCCCCTGGGGTCGGCGCCAGGGGACATATGTACCCACTGCCCCCCCCCTACGCTACGCCTCTGATTGTAGAACGTTTGAAAGACGCATTAGAACCCATTGCTTTTTAAAATGATGTACATGACTGAATTTGCAGAGGGCCATACGTGTTTATAATAACTGTAATGACAAAATAATTCTATAATATACCGTGTCCGAATACACGCACATTTGGTAAGAGTTTATTTTGGAAACTTTCCATCATGGGACGCATCATAGATAGGCTCACGCATTTGCAAAGTAATTACGTTTTCTAACAAACAGTTCTGTTTGATAGCTTTACTTTATTCAATATTCGGGTTTGATAACTGTGCATTTTCTTATTATTCGAGTTTGATAACTGTGCATTTTCTTATTATTCGAGTTTGATAACTGTGCATTTCCTTATTATACGAGTTTGATAACTGTGCATTTCTTCGTTATTCGAGTGGAAAGATACATTATGCCATGCATTTATGCACTTGCGAATTTTAGATTTTTAGTTGCCAGATGTTTGTGCGTGGATAATTTCCCCCGTAAGTTAATTATAATTCTATTTATTGTCAGCTTTAAGGTTAAATACTTTACTTTTATTTTTGTGTTGGTTTATAATAAGGATCAATAAATCAATGACAATGAGAAATATTCAGCTGATATCCCATCATGAACAAATATAAACTATTAACAAACGAAAGAAAAGATAGCGAAATTAGCCATATGGAAACATAGGGTCGGCGTGTTCGAGTCGGTAAAGCTCAAGGTTGCTAGGTGAAGTAGAAAGTACAAAATATTAAAAGCATATTGCTCGGTCAGATGAGGCTCGTTAGCTGGGGACAGCCACTCTTCTAGGAGAGACAACTCCAAAATCAAACAACTGCTGCCTTGTAGTTTGTTATTGGTTGGACAAAGGCTATGGAAGCAAATCCAAAAAGAAAAGCAGGTTGAAATCGGAGTCAATGACCTCAATGGCGCATAACCAGTTGACACGTATCCTTAATTGTGATGGAAGCGTGGTCGAATCGGCAAAAATTCATGGTTGATAAATTCGAAAAAAAAAGTCTCGAGTTCAAACCCAACACTAAAAATTAAGAACGAAGAAGAAGAAGGAAACTTAAAAAGCACTATATGTTTTACTTATTTTCAACAGTAAATCAAAATGAATCGAATATTGAAATGCGGATGTCGCGCCCTCAATTGCTGCACCAAGCAGAAGACCCCAGCAGACGAACAACATGACCAGAGCAAAGGTCTGACCGGTGGGGACGACCCGGAAGCAGATCTGAAGCCGCCGGAAGAAGCTGAGAGACACACCTGGTCAAGAAAAGCCGAATACCTTCTGTCTTTGATTGGCTATTGTGTTGGGCTGGGGAACGTCTGGAGGTTTCCTTATGTTTGTATAAGAAATGGTGGAGGTAAGGCTATGAGGAATTTAGAGGATTTTATTTTTTAGTTTCAAATTAAAGGGCGATTTCTATTCTCCCATATGGCCGAGTCAGGTATCAACGTCCAAAAAAAAAATATAGACAGATGTAAATAGCCTAAGCGCCCTAACATGTTTTTCAGAAATTTTGCCTGTTTTTCACAAAATTACAAAGTTTATGCAAGAAAATGCAGTCTCTCTTTATAAAGGCTTTTCTGGGTTTTTTCCGAGGGGAAGACCGTTGTATTTTAACCATGTATAGCTCATAGCTATACCACTTGAACACTACTTTTTGTATATATATATATATATATATATATATATATATATATATATATATATATATATATATATATATATATATATATATATATATATATATATATACGCACATTTATATATATACACACACACACACACACATATATATATATATATACACGCACATATATATATATATATATATATACACACACATATATATATATATATATATATATATATATATATATATATATATATATATATATATATATATATATATATATATATATATATATATATATATATTTATATATATATTTATATATATATATATTTATATATACACTTTGTTTTTCAGGCGCTTTCCTCCTCCCATTTTTGATATGCCTGGCCGTCATAGGTTTACCACTGTACTTTCTGGAGGTGGCCATGGGCCAGTTCATGTCAAAGGGAGCTTACCACGTGTGGAACATATGCCCGCTATTTAAAGGTAAGCGCACCCGCAAGATCAGATACACTGCGGAGGGTTGCACCAAGATTGCCGGAAGGAAATATTCAACCCTATTCTCACCCTATTTTTTAATAAGAGCAATACGAGTTAACGATTCCGATAGAAAAAAAAAACACCCTTCAATACTATACTTCACCCTTGCCGATCATGAAAGAATCTTGTTATGTATGTGTATGCCCTATTTATTATTCGGTACGCTTGCACCTTGCCTGTATAGAAACAGACGCAACCAACAGCTGGTTAAATACATACTTACATACATACATACATACATACATACATATATATATATATATATATATATATATATATATATATATATATATATATATCTTTAAGAAAACAAAAGTTGAAAAGCTTTTATTTGAAATTTAATTTCACTTCTAAAAATAAATTACATTAATCTTATGTTAGAGCTAGTTAGGGATATGTTTGGAGTGACGGGTAAGAGCTGGAAGTCTATGTGGTAGGTAAAAAATGAGTTCACCTGTTTCTGTGACCTCGGTATATGGACGGATAGTGTGGTCAGCACTATGCCCAGCCGACTTTATTTTCCCTAACGTGCGACAGGTATCCACCATAGCTGGATGGACTCAGGGACGGGTAGAGTTAGTTTATTTTGTGATACTGGACGGTGGGATAGGAATTAACCCTGCGTTCAGTGGGGTGGAAGATAAGCCTGGTGAGAACCGAACAGATACACGGTAATCAAACCGATATCCAAGCCAGTTAGAGAGTTTGCCGTGTTGAGGCCTGCCTGGCTAATGGGAGACACCTCCTGAGCTGACGATGTCCCTAAAGAAATAAACAAATAAAAAGTGATGTGTAGGGTTGTTAAGAAAATCTGATCCGTCTTTTTGCTTGTTGTTTAATAAAACATGGATAAAATAAACATGTAAAGGATCAAGATCAAATGACATAAAAATTATATTTCGACCACAACACCCATACAACCACCAACCTTTTTATATAACTTATTCATGCCCTCTCTCCAGAGGCGTAGCGACCCCTCCCGGCGCCCGGGGACAAACTTTCGATTTGCACTCCCCTCGAACTTTTGATTTGCACCCTCCCCCCCCCCCCCTGAAACTTTCGATTTGCACCCCCCTCAAACTTTCAATTTGTTTTTCCAACCCATTTTGGCGCCTCCCCCTAAGGTCGGCGCCCAGGGACATGCGTCCCCCCCCGCCCCCCCTCCTCGCTACGTCTCTCCCTCTCTCCCCCGCCCCCTTCCCGCCCCACTTTCGTGATTGTGTAAATAAGTAATCAGAATCATATTTTTATATTCTCATAGAAGCAGTTGTAAAGCTTGCTATTTCGCTATAAATAAACAAAGTTTGAACCATTTTCGCCAACTGGTCTATCTAAGCAACAGAAATTTAGAAAAAAAAATAATAAAATTAAAATTGAAAAACCAGCTGCACGAAACATTAATAATGAATTGCTACCACTCATATAACCTAGATTAAACAACTTGATAAGCCTCCCGCTGTATCGCTTTATTATTTTTATACCTTCACGTTTTTTATGCTGGGAATAGAAAAATGGAAGAAAATGCTGATGCATGCATTTTTAAAAAAAAACCGCATTCACGATAGACTAGGTCCTATTTAGATGATAATATCATTATCCAACTCCAGCCAACAGTATGATAAAGCAACACACATTTTCTAAAACTCGCAAGATGTCGGCCGTATTTAAACATAATCCATGTAGGCCGATATAAAAACAAAATTCCTTGTCTATGCCCCCCCCCCCCCTTTCCCTTCACAGTTGGCTGATGTTACCGAGATTTAGAGCACAGTTAAAATATTATTAAAGTTTTTCGAATGAACTATTTAGAGCTTCAATAATTATTTTTTTTTAAATGTCCGCATGAGTGACTTGAAAATCTTCACTGTAAGGCTACTAAGAAAAAAAATGTTTTGATGTAGTGCATTGAAGCGTGAACGCAAAGTTTACACCGATAGACCTTCGCCCCCCCCCCCCCCCCCCACGCACCCTCCCTTCACCTTAACTTCACCTCACTTTGGTAAATAAAGATTCCTTCTTTTTATTCTTGACCTGTTTTCAAGAGTCTTCTATTACATTTAAAAAGACAAAATACAAATGGTAGCTGCAGTGAGGGTAATGCAATCTTTCTATATATATAATTCTCTTCTTGGAGACGATAGAAAACACCAAGCTGTAAGCGCGCTCCCTACCACCCCCACCCCTACATGGTCTGGTGAGCTGTGGTTCACGCTAAATGTTTACAATCGTAGAGCCGGGTTTAGTGACGGCTATTAGGGGCAGATAATGTAGTTTTAAACGATTTTAAACTTAGGGGAGGTAACTAAGAGGAGCTTGCTTTCAAGGGGGGGGGGGGAGTAGGGGTTGGGGGAAAGGAGGGGGGTATCGTCCTTAACGACCATCTGATAGTGTTTTAAAGCAAATATTTTCAGTGACAGCATTGGTACTGTCGAATTCACAAATTATGAATTACGGAAAAGTAGAAAATAAAACAACTAAATAGCGGCGTATGATACGCCGCGGGTCGGCTCGTTTTAGTAATAAAACAGATAGTGTAAGTTACCTCACAAGTTAAAGACAGTTACACATACTATAGACGAAGACCTTGGATAGAAACTTCCATGGTATGTGTAACCAGTGGGGTCGCTTATTCGGGTGTCACCCGGTGCGGCAACTAATGGTGTCACCCCCCCCCCCCTCCTCTTTTTAACTCTAATTATTTATATAACTGGAAAAATCGTTTATATATTTATATATATTTGCTATTTTTGCCTTGGTGTCACCCCATCCCTAAATAGTGTTACCCGGTGTGATGCGCTTCCCCCGCTCCCCTCGCCCTCGCGACGACTCTGTTTGTAACTGTGTTTAACCTGTCCTGATATATTTTGTCCTGGTATCTTTTGTCCTTGAAATCATTTGTCCTTGAGATCATTTGTCCTGAGATCATTTGTCCTGAGATCATTTGTCCGTGAGATATTTTGTCTGAGATATTTTGTCTGAGATCATTTGTCCTGAGATCATTTGTCCGTGAGATATTTTGTCTGAGATATTTTGTCTGAGATCATTTGTCCTGAGATCATTTGTCATGGAACCCCTATTACATATGACTAAACGGACAAAGGAAATCATTAAAGTACTTTTTTAGGTCTACTAAAAATATTTATATGAAAGATAAGAAATCTAGTGAACAGTAGCATATTAATCATTTGCTAGCCAGGGTTAATTGTATGTGTATGCAGCAAGTTATGAGGACCCATGTTTATAATGATGTGTATCAACATACACATCTAGAGTAAAAATGTGTGTGCGCCCACATACATTCACACACGCGCGAGCCGCAAGCACACATAAACCCTCACTCATGCCTATTTATACCTATATATACACACATATATATATAAATAAATAAATAAAAAAAAAAAATATATATATATATATATATATATATATATATATATATATATATATATATATAATGTCCGAACCCAGTGTGTGTGTGTGTGGGGGGGGGGGGGGACCCAAACGCCTGCCTGAAATTCCCGTGTCTAGCGGCTTGTAACATGTGTGAGCCGGTAATGACCGTACAGAGACAGAGATCATATAGTATGCTAAGCAGGTCGGTCGATAGTTATGCAAAGGTAAACAAGATAAGCAGTTTAAAGAGGCCCTCCATGTCATACACTTTATGATACGTGAAACTGTTAAAACATCGCGAGGGAATATAAACCAAGCTGGGCCATGGCTGTTGTAGTGGGGGAGAGCCGCAGCTGTTGCCTCATCGTGATGGTTTGATGCTGATACCCTCCATCAATGAGGTAAGGCTGCTACCCCTTCCCTCCCCTTAGTTGTTGGAGGCTATTACAACCCCCGCCCCAGTTGTTGGATACTAATACCCCCTCAGTGGTTTGAGGATGTTACCCCCCCACCCCATTGGAAGATGTGACTTCCCCCACTCAGTGCTTGGAGGATGTTACCCCCCCCCCCCCCGTTGGAAGATGTTACCTACCCCCTCAGTGGTTGGAGGCTTATACCCCACCCCCCTTAGCGCATTGATGCGGTTACCCAATCCACTCAGTCGTTGAAGGGATGTTACACCCTCTGTGTTTGGATGATGCTTCCAGCTGCAATCGTGGGATGCTGTACCCGCTTAGTGGGTAGAGTCTGTTACCCCCCCTGTCCCCAGTGGTTGGAAACTAATACCCCCCCCCGTCCCTCGTCCCAGTTGTTGGAGAATGTTGTAGATGGAATAAACTCTGAAGGTTTGTGTTAGGGTTAATTAAAACCGTTAGATCTAAATCTCGCGGATTAAACACTACGTCTATAAACACTGGACATTGCCTTCGACCCGCCCTACCCCCAGCATTCTTATAGAGTCTTAAATCTTACACATCTTACACTTACAGGCATTGTAGGCTTCATAAGCTCTTGGTACTACATCATGCTGTCTTTAGAGTCTTAAATCGTACACATCTTACACTTACAGGCATTGTAGGCTTCATAAGCTCTTGGTGCTACATCATGCCGTCTTATAGAGTCTTACATATTACACTTACAGGAATCGGCATAGGGCAGATCATTGAAGGCTTCATAAGCTCTTGGTACTACATCATGCCGTCTTATAGAGTCTTACATCTTACACATCTTACACTTACAGGCATCGGCATCGGTCAGATTATTGTAGGCTTCATAAGCTCTTGGTATTACATCATGCCGTCTTATAGAGTCTTACATCTTACACTTACAGGAATCGGCATCGGTCAGATCATTGTAGGCTTCATAAGTTCTTGGTACTACATCATCCTCATCGCCTGGATCCTCATCTACCTGGTCAACTCCTTCAAGTCGCCCCTCCCCTGGACACTGTGTGGACAAGAGTGGAACTCTGACCGCTGTGTGCCGCAGGGGAGTCGGGTCCTGCTCTACAACACCAGCACCGTCTTCTACAACATCAGCAGCAACAACAACATCAGCAGCACCAGCTACAACATCAGCAGCACCAGCTACATAAATGGCACTCTGGGTTCCAGTCAGAACCAGAGCTCCCATGAAATAGACGGACATTATATCACATTCAATGGCTCATTGGACACTTCAAATCTAAGACCAGCTAGTGAAGAATTTTGGATGTAAGTTGAAACCAACACGATAATCAATACTTACCCGTGTTCTTTGATATTCCTTTTATATTTTTGAAACTTTGAAATAAGACTTAAAGGTTTCCATTGACATAAAGTTTAGTCTAATTACCGTGCGCGTAGTGAAAATTACACGGGAAATTGAATATTTGTAATACGAAATTGACTTTTTGTTTTCCAGAAAAAATGTCCTCGAGCTATCGTCAGGTCTGGAGACCATGGGTGGTCTACCCTGGCACACGACGGTGGCGCTGCTTGTCGCCTGCACCTGTGTGTTTCTCTGTCTGATTAAAGGGATAAAATCCGTGGGAAAGGTCTGTCTCTCATTGAATGTAATACGTCATTTAGCTTTTTCATTTAGACTAACTATCCCGTTTTAAATATTATTTGGTTATCTCACGACCCTCATTCTAATAGTATTGGTTAGATAAATATTTTTAACTCGCCGAGCTAATTAAAAGTCCCGATAGTATTAAAGTCACCAAAACTTGCGTTTGATTTAATTGGACTGCTACATGAAATAGTAGTAGTGTAATATGATAATATCGTTTGGGTTAAAGTCTGAAAAAAAATATCATATACCATGTAGGCCTGCATTTAGATAAACTAAATTATAGCAAATTTAAAAGGTAATTAACAGTATATTTAAGTGTTGACGTATATTTAAAGATAGTTGAGAAGAGTTAAAAGAATAGTGTAAAACAACAGTTATTTTAATTTTAATTTTTTTCTACATTTAAAAAAAAAAATTTAAATAAAATTGAAATTGAAATGAAAATGAAATGATTTTTTAAAAAATAAAGTAACAACTAGGAAACACATTTTATGCCATTTACCTTATGTAGTAGTTACCATCTTCTATGACTAATTTAAAGTAACTATATTTGTTTGTGATATTTGAAGAAAATCACAATAAAATTATATGGGGAAAACGCTTTTATTTTTTGAAACATAAAACATCTAGTTTTCAATAACTGTTATCATCACAATATTCATATAAATTACATGAATAGGAAGCTAAATATATGAGATTTAAAAATGTTAAAAATTTTCAGACAAAAATATTTTCTCGCAACATCCCTCTTTATCCCAGTGTGTCCTTCCTGTTTATTGAGGCACCTCCGAGTCACACAGCTCAGACAATACCAATCACAATTCATTCCGACTGCCACACCTTAGTACTTTGATTAAATTTTAGTACTTTCATTTTAAATAAGACCGTACTTTAAAAAAAAAAGACCAGTTTATACTGATTTTTTAAAAAAAGCAACAACAACGTAAACGTCAAGTTGATCGCGTGATGTAGTTCAATTCTCGGCTTGAAGGTTAACAAGTTTAGGGCCATGTACCTTCAGGGAACCAGAGCGTGTCATGGTGGCCATGATCCCGTTGCTTCACGGCGCACCCGTTGGACTCGCCCATTACGGGTGGAGTTGCTAGTAAACAGAAAACATTTGTGTGGGAGAGTAGCCTCCCCTTTCATTATTTCCTTCCCTTGCGGTACTTTCTTAAAGTGCTTGTGGCTAGGTACAACCAAAACCCTACCTTCCCCCCACCCGACCACACACCTCCCCCCCCCCCCGCCCGCGCAAACCATACCCGTCCGATTTGAAATTATTCAAGTTTGCCTTTGGGTTAAGCCTTATATTCATACACCCTGGACGTTGCCATATTTTGAAGTAGATCTTGAAGTCACACATGAGCCAACTCAACTCAAATAGAGTACCCAGCGTAAATTAATATACTGGGCACACGGCCAACTAGATTACATAGATAAACTTTAAACATTTCAACATTAAATGGTTGTGAACACCAGTCAACACAAGAAAGGTAATTGCTTGAAGAGCTATGTAAGAAAGGGCGGCTACTATGATATTTTTAATTATGGTTAACGCAGACGTAGTACTACCATCTTTGAATGTTTGGTTAATTTTGACAAATACAGGACAGATAACGCTGTATCGAATGATATCAAACGAAATTGGGTGGCTATTGTTAAATTGTTTACACATTTTTGGTTAATGTAGGCGTAAAACTACTATCTCTGTTTAAAAATTAGCTAATAAAATGACTCGAATAAGAATAAGTTTTTAAACAAATAATAATAAAATGTAGTTATTAAAAAATATATGTTCATCAAAGCTTTTATTTAAAAAAACAAAACACATCTATAATTATAACCATGACAGGCCGAGAATAACCTCCCCTATGTTTAGCCTAGTCACCTAGCAGTAAAGGATAATTAATTCCCCGCGCTAACACATCACCCTCTGAGAAGTTAACGGACCTTTTTATCATAGGTAGTGTACGTGACCGCCACCTTGCCGTACATACTGATTACAGTTTTAATTATTAAAGGTGCGACATTGCCTGGTGCAGTGGACGGTGTGCTCTTTTACATCTGGCCAGATTTCAGGTACAGTATAGGCTAAACGTATTGTAATTGCATTGCCAGTTTTTAATTATTATTTTTTTTAATAACGCTTTTGGTATAATTCCTTTTGTGTTTGTATACAGTGCTTGAAAAATATTGACTTAACGTATGTAAAAAAAATAACTTGTTATTCCAGTTGATAAGGTTAAAAAGAGGACAAAGAAGAGATACATTCGCTATTTGTTGGCACGTTTTTCAAACATGCCTACAATTTGTTACGCTATGACCTGCCAAAATCAAAGTGCAGAGGGTGGACAGATGAGAAGGGGAACAAAATATCTCCATATTTCAAAGACGTATATATATATATATATATATATATATATATATATATATATATATATATATATATATATATAAAGAGAGAGAGAGAGAGAGAGATAGATAGAGATAGCATTCCAGTTGAATAGAGATTCTGTTAATCAACTTAATAATTAAATAACAAGTCGGCTTACAGTTAATAACAAAAACAGAATCTAGAAGAGTGTAACTTCATATTTATTTTTACAAATATTCATCAACGTTATAGCTTTCAATAAAAAAAAATTCTTACCTTTTAACTATTGTTCTACAGCATATTCCGATTGTCCCACAGGAAACTCCCATTCCCACAAGTTGTTGCCATTGTTTTACAACATGTTCCCATTGTTTTACAACATGTTCCCATTGTTTTGCAACATGTTCCCAATTTTCTACAACATGTTCCCAATTTTCTACTAATTGGTCCCATTGTTTTATAGCAGATTCCAATTTTCGACATGTTCCCTTTGTTCCACAGCAAGTTCCCGTCTTTGGACAAGTGCCCTTGTTCTACAAAATGTACCATCAACATGTGCCATAACTCTATAAAACACAACACTTGCGTGTTCCCCTTATTCTACATCAAACGATATGTGTATGTTACTTTTGTTCCAAATAGCGAATAAAGCTGGTATGCCCCTCGTCGTTCCACAGCAAGTTCCTGTAAGTTGGACAAGTGTCCTTGTTCTACAACATGTACCATCAACATGTCCCACCAACATGTACCATCAACATGTACCATCAACATGTTCCATCAACATGTGCCATTACTTTACAGCATACATAATGTGTATATTACCTTTGTTCCATATAGCGAATAACACGGGCAAGTTCCCGTCGTTGGACAAGTGCCCTTGTTCTACAACATGTGCCATCAACATGTGCCATTACTCTACAGCATGTATATTACTTTTGTTCCATATAGCGAATAACACGGGCAAGTTCCCGTCGTTGGACAAGTGCCCTTGTTCTACAACATGTGCCATCAACATGTGCCATCAACATGTACCATCAACATGTTCCATCAACATGTGCCATTACTCTACAGCATGTATATTACCTTTGTTCCATATAGCGAATAACACGGGCATGTTCCCGTCGTTGGACAAGTGCCCTTGTTCTACAACATGTGCCATCAACATGTGCCATTACTCTACAGCATGTATATTACTTTTGTTCCATATAGCGAATAACACGGGCATGTTCCCGTCGTTGGACAAGTGCCCTTGTTCTACAACATGTGCCATCAACATGTGCCATCAACATGTGCCATCAACATGTACCATCAACATGTGCCATCAACATGTGCCATTACTCTACATCATGTATATTACCTTTATTCCATATAGCGAATAACACTAGCATGTCCCCCGTCGTTCCACAGCAAACTCCTACTGAGACAGACATGGCTGGAAGCGAGTCTGCAGGTCGTGTACTCCCTGGGGCCAATCTGGGGTGGGTTGGTCACGGTGGCCAGTTACAACAAGTTCAACAACAACTGTCTCAGGTGTGTGCTATACGTTTAACCGTTTCTGTAACGAAGATGATTTTATCATTACTGACACATAACCGTCTTTAACTTCTTCGAAAATAGTGTAAAATATGTATTCAATATTTAACATAAAACGTTTTAAAACTCTATTTCGAAGGTGGTTTAATACATATTTAAAATGCAATAAGACACTTTAATCAAATAGTAATTTGTAAAAAAAAAACCCCATTATATATTAAAATAAACACTACTAATTAATTACTACTAAATAATTGAACTAACTAATGTTAATAGAGATGTCAGGACGTAGTTAGTTTTGTAATTTATTCCCTGTAGTTTAAAAAATGTAACATTAATCTGTTTTAACAATATGTATTCGGTAAAATGTATTCGTTTAGTATGTATGAGAATAAAGTCCTGTGTGTACTATATTTTAAAAATATTAATACTACTTGAAGGAATACGTTTATTGTGTTATTTGGAATAGTAGTAGTAAGTTGTAAAATTTCCTTTTCGAACAAATCAGTCCATGGGGCAAGTTAAGTCGAGTTCACTTGTTTCTGTGACCTCAGCCTATAAAGGGATAGTGTGGTCAGCACTATGCCCAGCCACCTTCAATTTCCCTAACCTGAGTTAGTTGCCCATGAAAGCTGGGTGGACTAAGGGACGTTCTACTGACTTAAACCCGGGTTTTGTAATCGGAAGAAAATAGTTTCAGTTAAAGTTAGGCTTAAGTATTAGCTGTGTATCGATCACAGTGTCAATTTTAAAGTACCAAATAACTCCGTTTTTTTTCGTGGTGAAAATAATGTTGTTCTTTAAAAAAGGAAAATGATTATGGCAAAACTTACTGCAATTTGTAGTATATAATAATGACATATTTATGTCCTGTTTAAACACTCAACTCAGCAAAAATTAAAAACACCATTGTCCTTTCATTCCCAGTAGTTCCATTGTGCTAAAAATTAAAAAAAACAACAAATCGCTTAACCTCCTCCTTCCCAGAGACTCAATCATGTTACATTTTAAAACATGTTAGCCCTTTTCTTCCCAGCGACCTGATACTGCTAAGATTTAAAATATTTTAACCCTTACTTTCCCAGAGACTCCATCATGCTGACCTTCCTGTGTGAGGGCACGAGCATCTTCGCGGGGTTCGCCATCTTTACTGTCCTAGGTCACATGGCTTACAACCTGAACGTGCCTGTGGATAAATTTGCTGACACGGGTAACCAACCAATGCACTTTTTATCAAATTATTACTGGTTTTTCTTGCGAATGAATTGCTGATGTAATCCTTGGTCTTACGTACGTTAGGTTAAAAGTTGCGAACAGCTGAAACTACCATAGAAAGCCATCATCCTTTTTACTTTGTATAAAAATCAAAATTTCTGTAAGCATTAAGCGCTCACTTAAACGCGATTAGGTTACTTACTTACTTACTTAATTAATCCTCATCACTCCCTGTGGAGTATAAGGCAGCAACAAATCTCCGCCATTCCACTCTGTCCTGGGCGAGCCACTTTAGTTCAAGCCAGATTAGGTTACTAGCCTGATATAAAATTTGGTTTCTCGTAATAATCAAAATAATTCGTTAAGTGCATTTTCCTCACCAACTTCTCTAAAATAAAGTATTTTTCGGCGTTTAAGTCTACCTTTTGAGAGAATCTTTTCCCGAAAGTTGAGGGCTGTCTTATACGTCGGACGGATGTCGTCAATATATTATGGCGAATATATCCCAAACTTATATTTTAACTGCAAAATACGACTTCTAATGAATCAAGTCTGTAAGGCATCTATATTTTATTTAAAACTAGGCGTATTTGCCATAAGTAGGGGTTCGAGGGAGTGTTGCTAATTCTTACTTAATTGGTCTTTAGATTTAAAAGTTTAAACAGTGATTTAATAGAAATAGAAGTAAAGTTACTATATCGAGTCTGGCGGTTAGTAGTACAGTTGATGTTTCTGCGACCACGTACTTTTTGGTCAGTTATTTGCCGATCCGATTTTTATATTTCCCAAAGTGAGTCAGGTACCTCTTAGAGCTGAGTGAACTCTGGGACATCCTACATACGTGAATCTAAGATCTGAACTCGAGACTTTCGGGTTGGGTGTCGAGCGCGCTACCCCCCCCCCCCCCCCCCCACAATCTACCCCGTACAACAATTCAAGTATTCGCTTAACCAAATACATCTAATAAGATTTAAAATGTGCATTTCGTCTTAAAATAGGTGCAGGTCTAGCGTTTGTTGTCTACCCTGAAGCCATAGCTTACCTCCCTGTACCACAGTTGTGGGGCGTCTTGTTTTTTCTCATGTTGTTTACTGTCGCCCTAGACTCGCAGGTAAGACAAAAAAAAACACCAGCTAATACCGTCACATGATTTAGACTTTTTGTGCAAGGATTCTAAGGTAATGATAGAGTGCTCAGTCGCTAGCATTGAATGATATTTAGGCCTACTTAAACTGTATTCTAATGGTAATTGGAGATTCACGTTCTGGTCACATTATAATAAAATAGGTGTAACAGAATTAGATGAAACTATGATAGCAAGATATCACGAGAAAGTAATTTAGTTCAATAATAGTTTATGTCATATCTAAGCTTTACAGGGAGGGTGAAGTAGGGTAGACCTGTTGTTGTTTTAACCCTTTATTTACGGAATTATGTTCTGAATGAGATTTTTACTTCAACAATGTGTTACTATATTGCTTTTGGCACATTCAAAGCATATGTCGAAGGAAAATTCGTTTCATAAATTTTTAATGGCCCAAACAGGTATTGGTACTTATAAGTACCGTCAGTAATCTAGGACATTTTTTTTTTCAAAATTTTTTTTTTACAAAACAGGAACAAACGATACAATTTATTAACTAATAACATGGCAATCATTATAACAATCACTTTTTGTAATTTTCACACATAAATACTGCACAAAAGTATATTTTGAGTACAATTTTTACTGGATTTTCTATCGGAACACATCTTAGACCTCAAACACAGCAAAAGTAGTCGACATGTCATGCTCCCTCAATCTTCTCTGTGGTCTTTCTGGTGTAGCAACGGTTGCCGGAATGAACATGCTTTTGCTGGAAGCTTCCAATAGCTAGTACAATGAGCCGCACAAACAAACAAAAGCCTAGTCATTTAGCACACAACTACTAGTAATACTAGTATAATTGCATCCTACTAGAATGTTATGACAAGTCTACACTACAGTGCAAAGTTCATAAATAGAAGCGAGCTCAATGTGTTTATGATAGCCGTAGTGGATTACTCTTTTCTGTTTACTAATTAAAATTTACCTTATAGATCTATACTATATGCAGACGTATGGACTATTACTAGTCTACAGGTATACATTACGTAAGTGTTAGTTGTTGTAGGCAAGACAGTTTATTGCAGTAAATATAACTAACAAATTAAATCTTACAACAAGAACTAGGCTTTGGTATACAAATGAAGTATACTAAACCTTGTAAACGAGCCTGCAACTGATACATTTATTCTTGTTATTTTTTTACTACTAGAAATTAACATGTAATTACAATATTTCTTAGGTAAACCATATGCAAACCTTCTTATAAATGTGTAAATATCATTTTTTGAGTACATTTCGATAATTAATTATCAAGACAATATTTATGTAACTCCACCTAACAAATTTGCCATTTTCTAAAAATAAAAAAAAATGACCGTGTGCCCTGACGGTACTTATAAGTCCACTTGTAAACATCGATCTAATACAAAGACAATTTGATTAAAATTGTATAACTAGAAGTTAAATGCGTTTGCCTGACTATTGAAGGTGCCAATAAAAAATATTTGGGGTTGAAAACTTGAAAAATAAGGTAAAACAAAGGGAATTCATGAACGTGTGTGAGAACTGTACAGAAAATTGTGAACTACCGATATAGCAAGACATTGAAAATGGTGCCACACCATTAATTTAAAAAATACATTGATACCTCCGTCTACCGGCGACTAAAGGGAGATAATACTATTAATTACTTCAATAATTTTTAAAATTCATATTAAATTAAAAATAATACAGGCACTTAATTAAAGTGGTACTTATAAGTACCGTCAGTAGATAAAGGGTTAAAGATGTGAGTGGTATATTTCATGTTCATTTTTCAGTGCATCTATCAACTGGGTTGCGTGTTATACACAGTACATGTAATACATAATACAAATAATATTGAATACATGCAACACAATAAATATTTTATAAAAATACAGAACATTTATAATACAGAATACCAATAATACAGAATACAGATACGAATTTATAAAATACAGAATACAAATACTACATATAAAAGAGGACTCCTGTTTAGACCTAGCGATCCATTAGGCAGACGGAGTAGAGTTCAGCACTATGCCCAGCCAGTATTACTTTCCCCCAACCTAAGTCAGCTATCCCTCAGAGCTGGGTGGACTCAGGGTCGTTCTACAGTCACAGGTTCAAACCGAGAACTGATCTCGAGACCTATGAGCTTGCAGCCATACGCTCTACCATTCGTCTCACACATAAAATACATAATGAATAAATAAACAATATATAAAATACAGAGTATATTTTTTATATATATATATATATATATATATATATATATATATATATATATATATATATATATATATATATATATATATATATATCAGAGTATGTATTATAAGTGAAAGCAACAATAAAAATTACCAAGTTTTATAATACATTATGCAACTAAAAAACAGTAAATGATATAAGTATTTGAAAACATTTATTAAAAAAAAAACATTAACATGAGCTCACGTGTGCAGTTTGTTTACAGTTTGTGTTTGTGGAGATCGTACTCACCTGTCTACATGACCTGTGGCCAAAGTTCGTCACCAAAAGAAGTCTGCTGGTCAAAATTGGCTACTCATCGTTCCAGTTTCTGATTGGTCTGCCATTCGCTTCAAGGGTAAGTTGAACCGCTCTATATCAACACTAATTTACTTCTACGGGTGAAAATAAAAAAGGTGTCAGGTTAGTTTTTACTATTTTTACACAGAAAAAATGTGGGGGGGGGGGGGGGGGGGGGGGCTAAGAGATGCCTGAAATAAACTCTGGGTAATACAGTTCATGTTCTGATAAATTGTTGCTAAGATATCTTTCTCGGTTTTATTGCTGCTCTAAGTAGTTCCGCAACGGACAGCCCAGTCAATTCTTTGATGACCTCCATTCAGTGACGACTTTGCCTTTCCCCGTCTTCTGTTTCCAGGCACTTTACCCCAGTGGCGTAGCGAGGGGGGGGGGGGCGGGGGGGGGACATATGTCAGGCGCCGACCTTAGGGGGCGCCAAAATGGGTTGGAAAAATAAATTGAAAGGTTGAGGGAGGGTGCAAATCGAAATCTCGAGGGGGTGTGCAAATCGAAAGTTTGAGGGGGGGGTTGCAAATCAAAAGTTTGAGGGGGGGGGGGGGGTGGGGTGCAAATCGAAATCTTGAGGGGGGGGGGGGTGCAAATCAAAAAGTTTGTCACCGGGCGCCGGGAAGGGTCGCTAGGCCTCTGCCTTACCCTGCATTATTGTCTTAGATAGGCCTTTGGCTCATGTGACATGCCCGTTCCAATTATTGGATATACATTCAGAGGCGTAAAGACACAGTCCAGTGCCTGGGATGAACTGTCATTTTTGCGCGCCCTCCTCCCATTTATATATATAGTTTTTTCATGTTGGTGAAAAAGTGCCCCCCCCCCCCCTTCACCACCTAGTTGGAAAGGTTGGTGACGCTTTTTAACAGTCACTATTTTAAAAAAAAGTTTTTATTTTGGTTCTAAACAATTATTAAAAATGTTAGCTAAGATTGACTGTATTTAGTTCAATACTTCAGCTTAAAATGAGCTTTAACTTTTTTTTTCTATACCTTTTGGCCTTAAGGTCGGCGTCCGGGGCTGCCGACCCACTCTCTCCCCTAGCTACGCGACTGTATTGATAACTGGTGTATCAAAGAAGAAAATTTAATTAGAAAATCAATTGTCTAGTGGAACTATAATGAACAAATCCCTGGCAGATGAGGCTCAATAACTGGCGACAGAAACTCTTCTAGATCTAGGAGAGACCTCCAAAATCAAACAACTGTTGCCTTGTAGTTTGTCCTTGGATGAACAAAGGCTATGGAACTAAATAAAATAAACTGGTAGTGATCTCCCCTAAACTTTCTCGAATATTCTTATATAAAACAACAGGGGATGGTAACTGGGGATATAGTTATGATTTTTAATCCATTTTAAATACTGAAACTTTTAAAAATAGAATAGAATCTCAGTAAAAAACAATTGCGCACCAAGCGAACGCCTAATAAAGGTGTGTATAATGGTGCGCAATAGTATTAGTACTTTAAAAATTTACATTAGTTTTTTGAGAAATCGGAAGTAGCGTAAATTACTACTTCCAGTCAACGGAAATTACTCAAAATTTAACAGAAGGTAGAGAATTAGATCTTTTACTTACATGTGAAATTTCATTTATCTATCTGAAATAGTACTCAAGTTATAGGCTTTTGAAAAATTCAAAGTAGAAAAAGTACCACTTCCGGTTGTCGGAAATCGCTCAAAAGTTGATACGGATCTACGATTTTAATATAATACTTATATATGATATTTCATCAACCTAGCTGTAACGGTACTCAAGTTATCGTGTTTACACACGGACAGACACACACACAGACACACACACACACAGACATACGGACAAGATTGCAAAATTATGTTTTTCCGTATCAGTGAGGTGTAAAACGTCGAGATTTGTAAAAATCTCGATTTTTTTTTTGCACGATTACAATACTTTCTCTATACTACGTATATACGAGAAAGTAAAAAGTAAAGCAGGCTAAAATGGGAATTAACAGCCTATATGGTGCTAACAAGTTGATACGTAATGCTTTGTTGTGTTGGAGGGAATCCATTCCAACATTAGAATTTAGAACGAAGAAGAAGAAAGAAAATAAATAATACAAAACTGTCCTTAATCTACGCACGAAAGAACCTCATCTATTTTTTCACAAAAAACACTATATTTTATCTTTACAAATACTACACACATTTCTAGTAAACAAAGTATCTGTTCTACCAAGGTGGGATCTAATAAAAAATGTATCTGTTCTACCAGGGTGGGATCTACCTCTTTCAACTCGTTGACTGGTACATCGCTGCCTTTGCTGCCCTCTCCGTTGGCATCCTGGAGTGTGTTATTGTGGGATGGATATACGGTAAGAAATGTCGTTATTGTGGGATGGATATACGGTAAGAAATGTCGTGATTGTGGGATGGATATACGGTAAGAAATGTCGTGATTGTGGGATGGATATACGGAAAGAAATGTGTTGATTGTGGGATGGATATACGGAAAGAAATGTCGTTATTGTGGGATGGATTTACGGTAAGAAATGTCGTTATTGTGGGATGGATATACGGTAAGAAATGTCGTGATTGTGGGATGGATATACGGAAAGAAATGTGTTGATTGTGGGATGGATATACGGAAAGAAATGTCGTTATTGTGGGATGGATTTACGGTAAGAAATGTCGTTATCGTGGGATAGATATACAGTAAGAAACGTCAACTGGCGCTTCTTAAAGACAGCTTACAGCAAGTTAAAAGCCCTGAGTTACTATGAATGTTCCCCCACCTCCGGAACATGTCAGCTGGCCCCTCCCACATGACAAAATAGAAAACAAAAATATGTAGAAAATTTTAACTCCCCTCCCCAATTTGGAGTAAAGTGTCTAAAAGAAACCTTGATTTATGTAACTATCACTGTATATACATACATACATATACTCATGTACATTTAAGTACGTGTAGATACACGTACATGCACACACACACACACATGTACACTTAGACGCACCCGCATACATACACGTGCATGATTTAGATAAATTTAATTTTTTACTTGACAATTACAGGAGCAGAGAAAATGTTAAGCGATGTTTATTTCATGACGGGGAGACGACCACCTTATGTGTTTGTTTTACTTTGGAGATTTATCGTCCCTGCTTTATATACAGTAAGTTTTGATTACCAGCTGAATTATGTTAAATCGTGCATTTTTAGTATTTCTTTTTTTTTTGTGTGTATTTAATTATTGGCTAAATCTAGTTAATTATCCAAATTTAGTTTCACTTTCGCTAGTTTTAGCTATTAAAGTATATTATCTTGCATCGCTGAGCTATATTTATATCTACAATTCCAATGGTATTGGTTCTTTTAAATGAATAAAAAAAACCAGAACAATCATAGATAACACAATTTGTATGTTAAGAGAAACTCAAATTGATGTTTTCAAGTTATTATTTTAGTCTCGCAGAATATTATTAAAAATAGAAAACGAAATAGCTTTTTTTTAAGCACAAGTAAATAACTGAATTCTTACGATATATATATTAAAAACGTCTTTTTAAAATAATGTCTTTCTTTATTCAGTTTCACATAATAAAAAAGTGTAAATAAATTTTTTTACCGTTTTTTTTTATTTTTTTTCTCTATTAAATAATGTTGTATCTGAAAGCCAAATTCTACATTGCCAATCCCAAAACGATTCCAAATACGTTTTGTTTGTGACACACATATATCCCACCACTTCACTGACAAAAAATCTTGTTGTTTCCCCAGCTGCTACTGATCGTCACCCTGATGACGTATGAAGCCCCTGTCTTCGAGGGCTACACCTACGGCCCTGGTGGGGTAGCCTTTGGCTGGTTTGTGGCTACCGTCTGGTTCCTGCCCGTCCCTGTCGTGGCTGTTTTAAAACTGGTCTGGGCAAAGGGCAGTATATCACAGGCAAGTGGATCGTGTTAAATACCATGTGTTTACAGTAGGATGTGATTGAGTATTGTAGGCCAATTGTTTAATGGAAAAAGAAAAATTCAACAAAACATTTATTTAAAAAAAAATTCCCTATATAATTTTTTTACTAACTTTTTAATTTTTTTTTTAAAAGCAATTTTAGAGAAGTTTTCCAAAATATTGCTATTTTTTTATTTTGCAAAATTCAAAATCTTATAATACTTTTTTTTAAAGAAAGGTAATTTTAAAAAGTAATATGGAATATATGGTTTTAGTTTTATTCTACTAAAAATTAAAACATAATTTTAGTGTTTTAAAATAGATTTTAATAATTGATAACATAAAAAAGCCCGATTTAAATAAATTAAAAAAAAAGGTTTATTCATTGGGTGTTATTAACACAGGCATTCATTGAATTCTATATGTTTTCAAAAGCACATTAGGGTTAGACATACCACATCTACTTTTGCCTGAACCATACCGGCTGGTTTAAATAAATAAAACATACATGTGTACTTTTACATAATACACGAAAATCTTCTAACATTACCTCAGCCATAAATATTATTTCAAAATATAAATTAAATTATGACATCATACTTATCCAGATGTGTTAAAATTATATGAAACATTACCCTGACACTAATAAAAATCATAGCCTGTATATAAACTAAACTATGACCATAAAAAAGTAAAGATTCCTCTTTAGACCAAGCGTTCCATTGGGCTGATGAAGTAGAGTTCATATGTTTCTTGACATTGTCATGTGAATGGGTTAATGTGGTCATCCATCTTTATTTTCCCTAACGTGAGATAGGTACCCATTGAGACTTTTCGGGTTGGCAGTTTAGCGCTCTACCTCTAGGCCACAACTATGAACATAAACTTGCATAAAAAGAACACAGTAATATTTTAAGATAGTTGAGGTCCTTTTTATTCAATAAATCGAAGTATCTTATTATTTTTTTTTTTGTTGAATACATTAAAATAATTTACTATATTGTATATTGTTGACATTTTTTATTTGCCTATTACTGACAGAAAGATAATCAAAGCTGTCAAGTAGTTAAGTAATTATGTTTTTTTTTTCATTTTTCAGCGTTTTCGAAGTACATGTACACCTTCAGAAGAATGGCGTCCCGGTGACGTCACACGCAGGGGAGAGTACAAAGCCTTCAAGCAGAATTCCAATTCCTCACATTTTAAATTTCCGTGTCTTAGTTAGTCCAGGCCACAGCTAAACGTGATTTCCGTCACTGCGTGATGGCGAATGTTGCGTTTAGATTTCTACGACATATATATAAAAACATGTTTCTAAATATATTTAATATAATCATAAAACGGGATGATGTGAAAGTAAAATACTGACACCATCCCTGTTCTTTTCTCTTATGTGATAAAAACTTGGATTGAATTCTATTGTACAACACGATAGTTTTTTTTTGTTTCTGCTAAGAATGTAGCCATGGCATTAAAATACTGTATCGTTTCTTTTTTATAAAAAATTTCCTGCATTGTTTTTAAAGTTGGGATTTGCGTTATCTATATAATTGGCCATACTATTTTGGCAATTTTTGCCCCCCCCACCCCATTTCTCCCCATCACAAAACATGACAAAAAATCTAAACCCTACCCCAAAATAACGCAACTCCCACACAATCACTGTACTGCAGTTTTTCAGTTTTAAAGTTGCAAATGTTTTAAAAACAAAAATAATAGGTTGCCTCCCTTATTAAAGGGAAATAACCAGTAAAAACACATTGTGCTAAGGCCACTGTTATCAAGCGAGCTCAACTGCTCTATTTTCATGTGAATGTTATTTTTTATTTTATATTTAGTTAAACAAAAACAATGTTTAAGATGGTGTTTCAGCTAATTTATCAAGCAATTCTATGGTGCAGAACCTGTCTCTTTTCCCAACTATCCCTCATGTAAAATTAAAAAAAAATATATAATATCGTTAACATGATTGCACGATCTCTAACAGAGGTGTAGCAACCCTTTGAGAGGCAGGGGGAAAATTAACAATTTTGCGCCCCCCCCCTCCCTTATTTTTATATAGTTATTCTAGTTAGCACAAAAGTCCCTATCCTGAAAACGGTTATGTTTTGGTGCCAAATAATCTATGTAGAAAACAGTTAAATCAGCCTGTTAAGCAAACTATCAATCTATTTTCTTAACTTTGACTGTATATAACTCAGTAATGCAGCTCAAAATGATTTTTTTTCAACCACATTTAGGCATCCTTGAGTCAGCACCCACCCGCCCTCTCTTAGCTATGCCTCTGTGCTCTTTACCGCTTCAGGTTTCTAAAATGTTGAAGACTACCATGAAGAGTTTAGTTTATATCTCTGAGTTTTAGTTTATAGTTTAGTTCCTTTCCAAGGGGGTTCCTACGTTTAATGGAATCGGATCGGTTTGAAATCAAAAGAAGATCACCAAACAAAAAATGTGCTGAGTATTAAACATTTCATTTAATGTCTTTATTATTATCTTTTCACATTCTGTTTGGTTACGGTCAAGAGCACTGTTATATAATACTTATGATTTTATTTTAATTTTTTTTCCCAGAATTAACCCTTCTAGTTTAATGTTTTTTTTCCTTAAGAAATGTTTGAACTGTTATTATATAGCACTGTTGTAAAACATTGCGTGAAAAAAATAGACGCTGTTATTTCATTAAAAATGTTCTAAAATAAACTTAGTGTTTTTTTATATTATTGGGATAGAGGTCTCTGGATACGTTATATTTAATATGGGACTGGAAGCTCAATAAAATTATGTAACGTTTATTGGGTTGGGAGTGTTTTGACAATGTCATTTTTGTGTATCCCTAAATTGTAAACACTGAGTAGGTCTACCATTGGAGACAAAACAGGCCTAAAACTAGAGTTCATCTATTTTTAAACCTCAGCGTATTATGTGTGGTCAGCGACAATGCAGAGGGACGTCACATCACCTCGGGCCCAGATACTTCCTCTCTAGGCATATGCCTACCACCCCCACATGGTCTGGTAAGCTGTGGTTTACGCTAAATGTTTACAATCGTAGTGCAGTGTTTAGAGACGGCTATTAGGGGCAGATAATTGAGTTTGAAACGATTTTAAACTTAGGGGAGGTAACTAAGAAGAGGCTGCTTTGACGGGGGGGGGGGGGGGGGGCAGGGGTTGGGGGAAATGGGAGTGGGTTATCGTCCTTAACGACCTACTGATTGTGTTTTAAAGCAAATATTTCAGTGGCAGCATTGGTACTGTCGAATTCACAAATTATGAATTACTGAAAAGTAGAAAATAAAAGAACTAAATAGCGGCGTATGATACGCCGCGGGGGGTCGGCTCGTATATATATAATTCTTTTCATGGGCATGACGATGCAAGCCGAATATCTAACCCTCCTCCCGCCCGCTCTCTTGCTCTCCAGGCATGCGCAACACCATTTCGCTATCACCCCCACCCCCACCAGTCTGGTGAGCTCTACTTCACCCCGTAGAGCCGGGTCGAATTAGTGACGGCCATTAGGGGGCAGATAATTTAGCTTCTAAACTGTCGTCACGGACGGCTGCTTTTGCGGGGGCGTGGGTAGGGTGGGGTTGAGGGTAGTGTCGAATTGAAATGTTTGAATTGAAATGTGAGGGTCCCAAAACATGTCTTGAACGACATCAAGAAAAACTAATTGGTTTCATTGTTCCTTCCAGACTTTCTTCTCTGGGGGAGGGCACTTGATATTTTCGGGGGGAGGGGGGTGGACTACATTTTCCGAGGGAGGGGGAAGGGCGGACACTGATAAAAGTAAATATTTTCTACATCGCGTTCAATATCGCGTTATCACGTTCAATAGGTGCGCAATGGTTTTTGTCCTGTAACTCTATTGTAAATAAAAACATGTAAAGTACTAAAAACAAATCATAAAAAACGTTTTAATAACAAGGTTTTTTTGTAATAATGCACTAAAAGGAGAAAATAAATTATACACTACTATTTAAATAACTATAAAGAAAAGCGTGGGTCTCTTCCTAAATATTAGTAAAGGTATCCAATAAATACTAAAGTGACCAACGCTTTTTTTCATAGTTTTTACTTTCTCGTATATACGAAGTATAGAGAAAGTCTTGTAATCGTGCAAAAAAAAAATCGAGATTTTTACAAATCTCGACGTTTTACACCTCACTGATACGGAAAAACATAATTTTGCAATCTTGTCCGTATGTCTGTGTGTCTGTCTGTCTGTCTGTCTGTCTGTGTGTGTGTCCGTGTTACAGCTAGGTTGATAAAATTTCATATATAAGTATTTTATCAAAATCGTAGATCCGTATCAACTTTTGAGCGATTTCCGATAACCGGAAGTGGTACTTTTCCTACTTTGAATTTTTCAAAAGCCTATAACTCGAGTACTATTTCAGATAAATAAATGAAATTTCACATGTAAGAAAAAAATCCAATTCTCTACCTACTGTTAAATTTTGAGTAATTTCCGTTGAGCGGATTTCTAAAAAAACTAATGTAAATTTTTTAAGTACTAATAATATTGCGCACTATTATGCACTTTTTAATTTGGCGTTCACTTGGTGTGCAATTCTTTTGTCTACGAGATTTATTCTATTTTTAAAACTTTAAGTATTTAAAATGGATTAAAAATCATGTCTATAGCCCGAGTTCCCATCCCCTGTTATTTTATATAAGAATATTCGAGAAAGTTTAGGGGAGATCACTCCCGGTTTATTTTAAATAGTAGTGTATAATTTATTATCTCCTCAAGTTAGTACTCAAGTTATAGGCTTTTGAAAAATTGAAAGTAGAAAAACTTCCACTTGCGGTCATCGGAAATCGCTCAAAAGTTCATACGGATCTACGATTTTGATATAATATTTATATAGGAAGTTTCATCAACCTAGCTGTAACTGTACTCAAGTTATCGTGTTTACAGACACATACACACAGACACACACACACACAGACATACGGACAAGATTGCAAAACTACGTTTTATCGACTCAGGGGGGTGTAAAACGTCGAGATTTGTAAAAATCTCGAATTTGTTTTGCACGATTACAATACTTTCTATATAGGCCTACTTAGTATACGCGAAATTAAAAATGGATTCAAAATCATGTCTATATTCCTAGTTTCCATCCCCCGTAGTATTATTATGAATATTCGAGAAAGTGTAGGGGTGATTACTCATGGCTTATTTTTATGAAAACACATTGTATGCGGATGTACCTTTTAAAAATCTTTAGAGAAAAAATTGTTTGCTCTCTAGTATTAAAAAAATGTTTTTACTGGAGCCTACCCCCTTTAGGTAAACTTTACACTGCCGGTGTCTTAGCGCAAGCGGCAATTGAATACATATTACATATTATTCCAACCATTCCACGTAACAGGAATTTAGCAAAAATAATAAGTAATGTTAAGTAACTTTGCTCGATACAACCTCATCCCCATATAGCACAGTCTAAAAAAAATAATGAACCATTCCCTGAACCCCGTCGTGTTATAATTACAAATTCCTTCTTTACAAAACAAAATATTTCAATTATTTTCAATGAATGCGTGAATTCACGAAAAACAGTCACGCAATAAATATATTCTATTCATACTCGGACAGACCAAGGTTGGTATTGTTTTGAAAACCGGCATTCAAGGGTACGTTTTAAACCGCATTATTATTAACAAAAGACACCTAGAGAGCTAGTTATCCTTAGCTTGTTTGTGGTTAAAAGAAAACTTTTAGGACTTGAAATCGTATCCTTAGAATTATTTTGAGTTTTTATTCTACAACAAGGAAGTAACACCCAGAAACCAGTGTTTAGAAATTTTATTTTAAATTTGAAATATTCACAAACGATGTTACATAAACGTATACCTTTTAGATTTACTTGTGTGTGGGAACGCAGTTAGAACGAAGTACAGTAGTTTAATCCTGAGTCCCAACACGCCCTAACTCTAGCTCAGTGGTTCTTAACCTGGGTTCAATCGTACCCCAGGGGATCGGTGACTCTGTCTCAATGGTTCGCTGATGGACAAGCCACACACCCTCGCAATCGGACTTGGACGATAGAGCAATTATGTAGGTTTCGGTGTATCTATATATATATAGCAAAGTGGTCAAGTGCACGGAAGGGCACTTCCCGGCGCCGCAGGCGCGTCAAATTTGGCACGATGATGCCTTGGTGCGATAGAACACGAGGGCCGGTGACGGTTCGCCGAATAGTCCACGGAGAGATTGTCGAAACTGACCTCGACTGACCGGCGCCTAATATGGGCTATATTATGAAAAATTTTTCCTCCGACGACCCCCATTGAAATTTTGTGAGGTGTCATAAAAACTCGCCATTTCCGGGAAAAATCGGGAAATGGGTCAAAACTGACCAGTCGTATTTCCCTATATAATCTTTGTATTTTATGGAAAAAAACAGATGGTAATTTGAAAACAGATTTTAGGGCACTTACCCTCTTTACACCTGGCTAATTTTTTTTGTATGCTTATAGGTAAATGGCTTGGCCGTACGGCAAACCTGTCGGTTTCACTCAAAGCCCTCGACGAGGGCTAAAAAGTGACCGCGACTGAAATTC